GATGGTACGCAGGAGAAAAATAGGTGGTACGCAAAGATGTAAAGTATTTTTAATTATTAAATTCAAAAATTAAAACCCCAACATCCTGATTGAGTTTTTTCTCTAACATTCGTGATGTGTGCGATCCGAGCTTTGTTCAAGAGTGGTGGTGGTAGTAGTACTTTGTTAGTGGAGGTACTAAAGTTTTTCAATTTTTATTTAAATGGTACGCGTTAGTCAAAAGGTTGAGAACCACTGCAATAGAGGATATAAAATATTGGTCCTAAGATTGACATTTGGGGAATTCCTGCTAAGATATTTTTCACACTGGAAAGTGCTTTCTTAAATCTAACCGTGAAGGTGCAATTATCCCAAAAAGATTTGATCATCAGTATCAGGTGTTTAGGTAGGTCTAATTTGATTAGCTTGTAGACAAGACCTCGATGCTAGACAGGGTCAAATTCGTTCCTTACCCTTTTTCAGAAGCAGTTAAATATCATCACAATCACATGCCGTCCACGTCATCCAAACGAGTTCATTGAAAAATGTGGGTATGGTCAAACTGTTGTTTTGGCTCGTCAGTGTATAACAATATCAATTTCACACCTAAATATACTATTATTACATATAGCTTAACAATAAAACTATACGAAGAAACATTTACTCTGAATTACTGTAGAATAAAATGAAAAACCAACAATAATTTCAAAAGTAAATATATCCAAATATACCAAAAACTACAAGCTTTATTTGCATAAATCTACAAACGTTAATATAATAATTTAGATTATTTTAGCAAGAAATATTAAATGATCAAATATGAAAACGTTTGACAGATATAATGTTCAACTGATGCACGATAAATTTTGAAACACTTATTGATAATGATGATACAGAAGACGCTTAGACAGATGCTTCGATCGAGCCTCAGCAGGCGCCATTCACCGTGTTGTTGTGTGATAAGCTGATTATGGCCAACCCGGAGGAGAAATACACGACTTCCTTTAAATCCGCTAAGAATGTACGCATGTTTCTTTCACAAGCAAAAGAAAGGATGATTTATTTTCTGCCCAGAAGCTGAAACATTTTATCTAGATCTATCGACGTACTGGAATACGTATAACAAAACATATTATGTTATTCACCTTCAGGCTGCATGGTCTATCGTAAGATTTCGTTAAGAAGAAAATCAAACAGCGAGTACCACTCATAAGGGCTTTAAAAGAGTCTGGGAGTTAAGACACGAGTACCATCCAACGTATACCTTATATCCCCAACTGTTTAGAAACTGAGAACAAGCTGGGTTTCAAGAACTCATATATTAATGAAGCTAAGGATTGTGTGGGACTGTTGTTGATTTCGACAGAAATTCTACTTTCAGCCTAATTATAATCTCTATCGAAATCTATAAAAATCATATTTGCTTCGAATAAAACTATAACTAAGATCATTGGCAATGGAATTCGCATACAGCATAATTATAAAGCGCGCTTATCTAATTAACAATATCAGGGATTTGAATTATGTGGATTATGACAAAGTACATGAAAGCTAAGGGAAACCGGCTCGCATTTACGCTATGCATGAGAAAAGCCTGGAAAACTCTAATGTAGCTAGCAGGCAGCCAGACTTTGAACTCGGGTCGAGAACTCGGGTCTACCAGTGTTCAGCGATTTTATCGCTTGGTCGTTGATGGGCCTAATAATGTAGCATTTGTATTTTACTAATAAATGAATAAAATTATTGCCAACGGAAAAATATTTTCAAAAAACATATGACGTTAATGATGATTAAAATTATTCTTTGTCAAAATTATTATAATTAATTCTAATTCTTCTAAATTAAAATTATGTTACTAATCGTCTAAGGAAATTTTCTGACTAAAATTTGCTCATGTTAGCATTTTAGTTTTTGAATAATAAAACATGAATTCAAGAATAGTTAGCATTATTGATTTTGTTTGAATGACCACAATGATACATAATGATACTAAATGTACTGTACTGTTTGCCTGGTTGACATTTCTAAACCAAATGTAAGAAATTGTACATTTTTGCTGATGTTAACGTCAGAAAATTTATCTTATTTTTTAGTTTTTTTCTGATTTTTCTCTGTAATAAAATAATTTTTTGCGTAAGACTCACATGCAGTGTTTTTATGGTCTTCTTCCTTGTATCGTTTCTCCCTATGTAATTTTCGTTTCTCCCTATGTAATTTTCATTTCGCCATTAAGGTGAAGCTTTTGCATTTTTGTGAGATTCAGCATCTAATATTGTTCTTTAAAGACGTCTATCCGGTATAGTGGTTAGCGACCCTGACCGCCGTAGCGATGGACCTGAGTTCAAATCCCGGAGATGGCATGGTTGTCACTGTCCATCCCTTCGTAGGAGGCAACGGTGACCGCCTATTAGGTGCTTCCATAATGAGAGGTTACTATTTCCGACCTTTGTAGAGTCGCAAGGCTGATGACTTTTAAAAATTATCCGCCATTAGAAAGAAAATATTGTTCTTTCAAACAATGATGGTAGCAAAATTAAAATTTATATTTTACCCTTAATCTCCATAATGGATTTGTAAATATACAAATGAACTATGAAATACTGTTTATAATTGCCAAGGTATTGGCTATTATTCCTTTAGCTCTAAAGTTCTCCAATACATTTAAGCAATATCACTATATTTCTCAATTGAAATACGCCCATCTAAATGTAAAGCGTTGTCCAGACGTGCATCGAGCACGAAGATGAGAATCAACTAATTTATTATATAACAGACAGGTTGATAATTATGCCCTGTCAGAAGTCTAAAATAAGTTACTGCTGCAGAAAGAGGTCAGCTTAGAACAGTGTCTTTTTTTTTTTTTTTTTTTTTTTTTTTAAGAAGTAGATCTTTTATCCTCAGGAGAGGCAGGAGTTCCGATCTCACCATATTAGCAATCTTCCTTGCTTTATCATCTAATTATTTTAAGCTGGTTTCTCAATGCAAAATTCGACGGATAAAAGCAGGAATGGCCTAGAGAGAGAATTGTGGATCTGAGAGCATCCTGACTTTAGTGAAGTAATTAAAATTTTTTTATATTCCCAGCACGAGACTTATTTGAAGAGAAAGCTGCACCGGAAAAAATTAAAATACAGGAGCACGCGCATTTAACATTTTAATGAATAGATATCTCGTAATTGTACTCTTTTGCTATCGAGAAAAATCGAGAAAATATCAGAATGTTCTCATGCAAGATTAAAAAGCTTATAAAAGCCGGATCAAAACATCTGAATTCAGTTGTTTTATGAGTTGTTTACTTAGTGCTGTTATTGATTGTAGCGAATTCTCGGTGAGATCGGATTAACTTTCTCTTCGTTTCTGAATTGTGTTAATTCTATTTAACGTTTTAGTAGTTCAAAATATAACTGCTGTGAGATATTGTGATATTGTACGAATATCTCTGAGGAAGATTCAGCATTTTGGTTTATTCCTTAGGATAAGAATAAATTTTATTAACTTTTTATCGACTTGTGCATTCAGTTTTTTTACGAACCCGTACGCACGCAACAATAATGATGTCCAATATTTCCCGTTGCCTTCGCATGAATTTGTTCTGAATTCATTTCCATCTATAGAGAGAACTCCAGAGATATGAAAATGTTTAACAACTTCCAGTTTAAAGAACTTTCGAGAAGAAAGAAATATCTATTTCAGATGAGACATTGTAATCGTTGGAGATCTTAAAATGGATAACTTTTGAAATGTACTTTTCTTCATTTCCAGCTTCATATTTCCAATATTCTGAATTACTAATGCCGTTGATTTGAATTGAATTTAAAGATCACCAAAAAGCAGTATAATCCTGATTCCACTTTATACAGTTCTGAATATACGGTCTGAACTGCTGTTGACAAATAAACATACTAAGGAACTTTTCTCTTGTGCATTCAAAAGCATCACGAAAAACTGTTGTTGTTACTAATCTCACTTGTCTGAATCGAATTTAATTATCAAATTATCACGAAATCAAATTATCACCGTGACAAGGAGCACTAGATTGCGCCTATCATTGGTCAGAGCCTTGAGCACCATGCAGGTGATAGTCCGATTTTGCTCAGTTTTGCCCCAATTTGGAAAGACAGGTTTTGATTTGGTTTGGTTTATGTGATTACGGCAAAGAATTCAGGGCTATCTGCCTAAGGGAAGGAATGTCTTTGTGGAGGATTTTCTAAAGCAAACTGGCTCATATGCATATTACACATGGGGAAAAACACGAAATCGCCCAAGCAGGCAGTCCGTTCGCGGGATTCGAACCTCGGACAGAGCTACCGGTGTTTAGCGACTTTACCACTCGGCCGTTGATGAGCTTTGAAAGAGAGACCTCAGGGAGACAGGCCCGAAGGGCGCAATCCCTCTTTTCGTATCTCCAACCTCTTGAGAGAACTTTCAGCTCTCTGCATATTTTGAGTGCCCCCATGCCAATTAGACACTGTACATTAACAAACATGCATGCTTTCTCCAGGATTCGAAGACGGGCTCTTCGGAATCGCAGTCAGCCTCTCTAACCATTTTCCAGACTGGGCGGTTGAAGAAAAACTCGATGTAGGGAGGTTCAGTTGTTGCAAATACCACACCTTTCAACTGCTAATGCTATTGATGACTTAACGAAAGCTTTTAATATGATGAAAGAGTGTAAAATATGCATGGTGAAATTTGTATGACACTTTTTATGTTTTGCTACAATTGTTAGATTTCAAATTAAAATGATAGCCTGGTAAATATAAGGCAATAGTGTACCTAATAACTTTATAATGCGATATTTTTAGCGATATTTTTCTTTTAAAAGCTCAACGCGTTCTAATCAGATTAGCAATTTTAAATACGAAACTCTACGATATTTGTTACGAAACTAAGGAAAATTAATTTATTTTTATTTATACTTTTCTTTACACGTAAAAAAAATTAAATACTTCTGCATATGCTGTAGTTCAGGAAAATTTTGTTTTATTCTTGCTTTATCTTACTTTTGCTTTTCTTCACAGGTGAATTCGGAATACAAGCGGAACTTTACGTGGCATGATGGTTACCAGGCAACGAAGGTGGATGTCGTGCGAAATGCACCCTCGCTACGTAAGTTAATTTTTAAAATTTGTGCAGTTAACTGTGTAGCGAACGTTGCGAGCGAAGACTGACTAATTTGCTTAATGTTATTTCTTTTAAGTTTTCCGACAGTTTAAAAATGTTTTCTTCAAATTTTACTAGCTGCAGTGATTGGTTATTCGATAAAGAACGGTTAATAAATGATTACTTTGTTTTATTGGCGGTAACTAACTGAAAATATGCATTCGATAATCATTTTAATGATTCATAAGTTTAAAAACTCTATGTAAATATCTGCTGTTTGTAAAATATGAATGTATGCATGTTAATTCCAATCTATGTTCAAAATGAATTTTTATTTCAAGTACATTCATATATTTGTCTTTAATTATGAAGCACCAAGATATTTTGAGCTTTTAAAATTTGGTATTTTTGGACTAGCTAAAAGATTATGTTAATTCATGATAAAAAGATGTTTAGTTTCTTAATTTAGAGGTCGATATCTTTTACTGTCACATCACAGCAAGCTTTTTAATAACGGCTAGGTGCTTTATTTAATAGCGATTAGCCTTGCTCCGCTACAAGGGCTGGAAATGGCGGCCATTTCATTATGGAAGCACCTAGTAGATGGCCACCGTTGCCTCCTATGAAGGGCCGAACAGCCTTTACATCCATAACTTTCTCCGGGATTCGAAGGCGGACCAATCAGTACAGCAGTCAGGGTCACTAACCATTATACCAGCTAAACAGCACATCACAACAATGTGATATCGCTTTTACTGTCACATCGTTTCGGGCATTGGTATTAAAATAAAATTCGAGATACTCTGATCAACTATTTTATGTTAATTATTGTTAGTTGTTCACACTCCTGAAAAGAGCAATTATTCGTTTTTTTAGTGTCGCAACATTTATTTACTCCATGATCTCCAGTTAACGTAAAACTCTAAAATAGATTCATTTAAATATATCGAAATTAAAAATTCTGTGTGATTGATGATTTTTCTTTATCCAAGTGGCCGGATGCTTAAATGTTGCAATACTAATATATACCATTATTACAGCTTAATGTTAATACTCATTTTTCTTAGTATCAGTAACGTACAAGCCTAAGCCTGAGAATTTCCAAAACTGAGCAGGCTAGCACTATTAGAAAAAAACCTTATATTACCTGCAGCTAAAGATAACGTTTTATAGTAAACAAGTAATGAATAAAAATAGTAAACACATAATGAAATTTTTATTACTTCAAAGAAAAAAGCTTTGGGAACTAGTTATCTAGTAAATCTAAAAGTTCCCAAAACTGGGCAGACTCACACTATTGGAGAAAAACCGTATATTATCAGCAACTAAAGATATTGTTTTAATATATTCAACCAAAAACCGCCTAATAATATTCCGTTATCAAATGATACAGTAAGTCGACGAATTTATGAAACGGAAAATTCTATAAAAGAGACACGTATTCGAAAAATAAAACACAGTAAGTATTTCGCATTGCAGTTGCATGAAAGCACTGATATAATGAACTTTGTTCAGTTGTTAGTTTACATAACTTTTGAAGAAAATAAAAGAATTGCCGAAGAGTATTTATATTGTGAATATCTTTATTGCAGATGAAATTTTCAAAGTAATTGACAAATTTATGTCTAAGAGTGCTATTACTTTGAATAAGTACATTGTTGTATGCAGTGACGGAGCTCGGGCTTTAACGGGAAAATATTCCAGTGTTATTTCTCAAATAAAGTCGCACCTGAAACTAAATTTTCTTGCTGTCCCATTCATCGTGAAGCTTTAGTAGGCAAAACAATCCCCAATAACATGAAAATCGTTTTGAGTCAAGCTGTGAAAATTGTTAATTTTATTAAGAGCCGAGCTTTAAATTGAAGAATATTTACGATTTTATGCCAAGCGATGGGCAGTGAACATGATAACTCTTTTGTTATATTATGAAGTAAGGTGGTTATCCAGAGGCAACGTTTGTATCATCTTTTTGAACACCAGAAATTTAAATTTTCCTCTGTGATTAAAGGTTTGAATTGCAAAAATGTTTATTTAGTGAATTATGATTGTCGTGTTTATCATATTTAGGTAATAGTTTTGGAAAGTTAAATGATTTAAATGACAAAGTGTTGATTTGTTTACCATTAGAGATAAAATAAATGCAATGATAAAAAAGTCGAGCTAATCATCAAAGAATTGGATAATAATATTTTAAACTTTTTACCACCTTTTAGGAAGATTTCTAACCGAAAATAATTTGCTAATAAAAGGAGAATTAACATCCGAGCATTAAAAATCATCGTTTTTTTCATTCATAAATAATTTCAATACGTATTTTCCCGAGAATTATGAAAACGAAAACTGGATTAGAAATCCATTTTGTTCAAATGTGCCTGAAACCTTATCTTGCGAAGAAAACGTTTTTGTGCTGAACCGGAAAAAAAGAATTTATAGGCATTTAAAATAAAGCTCTGAAATTTTTATTGCCTTTTTGCACAACCTATTTGTGTGAACAAGGATTTTCTTCCATGTTAATGTTTGAAAAATAAGTACAGAACACATTTAAAAGCGGATTCTAATTTACGGTTAAAATTAAGTGAAATAAGACCAGACATAAAGAAATTAATCCCTCTTAAACAGGTCCAAATGTCACTCTATATTTTAGAATTAAAGTATTGTACCTTAAAATTTGATAATTAAAATGGGAATAATTTTTTAATCTAATATTTTTTTTATTTGTGCATATGTAATACAAATAGCCAATAAGTTGTGCAAATGGCAATAAGTACTCTTTTTTAATATTTGTAAAAAAAAATCATTGTAAAATGTAGTGGTGGTACTAATGTTTTTCAATTTTTGTTTAGATGGTACATGTTAGTCAAAAGGTTGAAAACCGCTATGCTAAGGTATACATCAAATATCCGTAATAGATTTACTGTATAAGACATTTCTATAAAAATCTTTCGTCAAAAGTAGTTTTTTTTGGAGGGGGTCGTAAACTGTGTATTCTGTATGTGCTATATAGAGAAATTGCACAATGTTAATAAAGATAAGTCAACCATACTTCTAGAAAAGCAATGAAAATAAAAATATCTTCTACTAAAAAGAATTACAATTAATAGTGAAAGTATGCTCAGTGTTGTAGACTTTGGTATAAAATACAGTGCTTGGATATTCGCGTGAAAGAGAAAGCCGCTTCGCGTCGCGAAAGGTTAAGGGACTCAATCCATTCGGATGTACCTTTCTTTTCATGGGTAATTATTAGGAAAGCTGGAAATTGATGGCATATCGCCAAGTTTTGTGATATCGGAGACCATATGACGCATCGTAATACACCATGGATTATGCTTGTAACTTGGCTGTTTCCAGACACACATGTAGATGCTTTGATCACAACATAACAAAAATATTTTTCACATTAGTGCAGATAAACATGTGAGAAGTAAACAAAGGAAACGAATCGCTCTGTACAAGCTCAACAGACATGAGTTTTTCTTGCGAATATTATTTTATTTCATTTAGTTGTGTTGGCAACACAGTTGTAAACGAAGATGGCTAGCTCTCAATAAACCTTGACTGTTAGCGACCATTTTTCGAATTTTTAGTTCCTATTAACCCACAACGGATATGCTTAGCGTTCCAGACCTGAGCATCCTCGTTAGTTCAACAGCATATAGTAGGTGCCGCTTAATATAATCACGTTTGTCCATGGCTATTTCAGTAACATTAACCGAATGATAACATTCACGCCGAGAAAAAATATCCTTCAAAACGGTAATGGAGTTAAGTAATTTAATGTAAATATAATTAGAAACATTAATATATAATTTCGCATCATTTTAATTAGAAAAATGTTTTTATGAACTGTTCGTGGTATCTTTAATGTAAACGTTATAACGTTTCTGGAAATTATTTGAACCCTAAACTTCATACTCGGCGAGTATCTCTCATTCATTGGAAGAAAACATGCCAATGTAAAATTTAAAATTATGCGAAAAAGCAGCTTTTTTTAGTGTAGATGTTTTAAGGGAGAAGGAACAAAAAAAATTCTGAGGAAATTTTTTTGCGTGTGAAAAGGCACCTCTGTCTGATCACGTTCAAAATCGATAAAGTTATTTAACCAACCAACCAAACTAAGGTTGCTTTTTTTGCCTAACTTTATTTAAATGATTGACTAAAATCGAAAGCAAGCTGTTTGGTGACTTAATACATTACTTAGTGACATTTCTCTGCCACTTGGCTATTTTTATAGTCTAGTTTGACCTTATTTGGCAATTTCATTTTAAAAGTAATTTGTAACACTATTATACAAATTGCTGATCACAATAAGCAATGCATTTTCCACGTTCTCCCATACAAACGTACTTCGATAACAATATCTGAATGAGAACACATTAAGTTGCAACACATAAAATATCACATTAAGTTGCGTATGCGTTAATTCAGATACTATAATATAACTCTGAGTAAATTTCATACGTTCAATAAAAAGTTTGAACGTTTGTTATACTGAATTAAAATTGCTAATAAATTTTGTGAATAACTAAATTTATAATTAAAAATCTTTTATGAAAAAAAAAATAATTTTATGTATTGGCGTGTACCCAGTTAATTCAAGTTTTTTACCACGCATGTTAAACCATAATATCCAGATGTGAACTTCAAGAACAAAGTCAAGATAAATGATTTCCGCTTCTATTTAAATATATAAGCCTTTCTATTAAATCATTTCTGATGATAATACTCATTTGAAACATTTTAGAGCACGTATTTACTTAGTTATCATCTATTTAACTATTTTAATAAACTTTATTCATATCTCTCCTTTAAATCCTTTATTCATTTTTTAATCAAGAACTTCGTTAACTAACTTACTAAAGTTAATTTTTAAATGTGAAATTTATTAATCAAGATTTCCGTCATTTCCATTTACGCTGGCAGTTTTCGTAATAAACTTTAATGAGCTTTCGCAGTAACATGAAACTTTCGTTTTAATGTCACCTGCCAAGAACTCTCATTGTTCAATT